AAATATATATATACTGTTTTGGTCTATATCTTTATTAAGTGCACAGCCAGTAGGCTGTTTTTTTCACACATATGAAGCAATACATGTGCAACTGAGTGCAATATTTTTTTCTCAGTTTTTCTGTAGCTTTCTATTAATACATTATTTAATATGTTATTTAGCATATTTCCACATGAGCGGGTTCCCACAATATAGATGATTTCAGTTTGTATTATCCTTTTGGGGACATTTGGTCCCTTAAATGTAGGCAAAATGTTACGCATGCACACATTTTCGAAACATCCACTTATTAGTGTGGCTCATTAGAAAATTTACTGTCAGTCGCTGATTAACACCCTCTTTGTCAGGCAAGTTATCAAGGTGCCCAAGGTGGGCTGAATGAGAGAGAGGGCAGCCGAGCCTGGCTGGCAGGGGGCCAGGTGTAGCAGTGGAAAGGAGAGAAAGTCAGGTCAGAGCAGAACAAAACGTTTGTCAGTGTGTGAAATATTTAATTAGTCACGCACACACACACTCATGTTGACACAGTTTAACTCAGAGCAAACAGACCTCAGTTTCTCTATTCCTGGAAACTGTACATATACTTTTTTTGCATAGATAGATCAGAAGTAATGCAATCTGAATATGTTACAGCACACTTGTACTCTCTCGCCCTCTTTCTCGTTGAAATCACTCTGTTCTTTTGATTTCACTTTGTTCTCTCTCATCTTTTTGCTTACTCTTTCCAAATTGGATTCATCTAGTTTAGGCAGGAAGGTCTTTTGTACATTCTATTATCAGGTCTTGTGCTCTGAAACAGAAATGTTGTTTCTGAAGTATTGCATGAGTTTTTTTTTTCTTTCTCATAATAGATTGCACTATAATTTTGCACTTTCATCCAATGTCTTCACTGTAAAAAAAATTCTGTAGTTTTTACAAAATAATTTTGGCAGCTGTGGTTGCCAGAATAATTTTGTAAAAAATACAGAAAAACTGTAAACACATTTACGGCCAAAAACTGTATATTTTACAGTATAAAACTGTAATTTGCAAACAAGAAAATTTGAATGTAAACCAGTAAATTCAACAATTCACACTGCTATTAAAATCTGTTTTGTACCTTTAACATACTGACAACCACCATAATAATGCAGGTGGTAAAAGAGAAAGCCACATGAAGAATCAAAGCTCATCACAAGTAGCTTCGCCACAAGCAGAAGTATATACTAATATATAGAAGGTGCACAGAGTCATTCATGCAAACACAAAACACCATCATGGTAACACACATGATACTTAAATAATGCATTAAACTTTCATTAAACGACAGAAGATGTAACATAAAGCCCAAATATACATAACTAATAACAAAAACTATTAAAAAAACATGATTATTTAAACAAAATACTTTCAAATGTGGAGTGTCATGCAGGGAATTCTGGGAATATCAGTTTACAGGTTTTTTGTTTATTTGTTATTTTTACTTCTAAAAACTGTAAAATTAACAGCATTTTACTGTAAAATTACATGAAATGTCTGGTTAGATATTTTACAGTTTTTCCCTGTATATAGTACGGGAACTTACTGTTAACCTATTAACTGTTTTTTTCAGTAGCGTTTTTACAAAATTTTACAGTTAAAATTACACTTATTTTTTACAGTGCAGCCAACCTGGGCATTTACGAGATTTCTTGAGATTTAATTCTTAAAATGAATTCTTAAATCTTGATTTGTATTACCATAACACGCCCAGACTTTTGACTTAGTTTTGTAATTCACATTATACTCAATTATGATTCATTAAATTATTAGTACGTCTGACGCATTTACCTTTGTACGGCAAAATTCAGTCATCTCAATAATCTGCATGATTGGGAATTTCACTTGTGGGACGTGTTCCCCATGTGGATTGCACAACGGATTTGAGAAACTTTTAACATGCAAATTCTCTGCATGGACCGATATAATGCAAGCGCTGCTTCATTCACCGCTGCACTATTGACAATGAGCCTTCTTTGCATGTGAGATTTTGCATGTGTACATATTAGCCAAATTTCACAGTTAAAAAGGGTTAATTGTCTATTGTTGTTAGTCTTAAGATGTATGAAGAGCAGCTCACACAGAAGTCACTTTCAAACCTGAACCCGTTGCGAAATCTGTGTGGGGAAATATTTCGCCCTGGCGTGAAATTCCCGATCTAGTGAATTCCTATTGAAATTACTGGATTTCGCCAGCTAAAATTTGCTGGACAATGGTAAATATGATCAGTATGCAAGATTCGCTAATTTAACCATGCCTCAAAACGGTGTTATTATGATTAAAAATATATTTTAAAAAAAACCATAATGCAATTAAAATCAGCACAATGTGATGTGTAAATAATTTATTAATTTAAATATTTTTTCACATTAGGGTCATAAGAATTGGGGGAAATGTGCTTAATTATATAATTACTTAAGTATATATATATATATATATATAATGTATTTATTTTTTTGACATGTCAAGTTTGGTGAAATGTGGTGACTGTGGGCAATAACTGATTTGAATGCCGTTTCTGAATCTCTGCAGGAGGATATCTACAACAAATCCACATATATTTTGCACATCTTAATAATCTTACCCATCCGGAACCATCTCTGAAAACATGTCATAAAAAAACTTTCAGCCACTTACTGTAGACCAGGCGCTGCTTTTCCCATCTGTAAATTAAGCAGAAGAGTTACTCTTACCTGCTCCTATGACTCTTTCTTCCTCTTCTTCTGTCTGTCTCAAACCCTCATACTCATGGGTCTCTCGCTCGCTCTCGCGGGGTCACCGAAACAGATGCTAGCTTTCTGGAGACACACTGTCGAGGCTGGGATCGACCTGCCAGTCTGAGAGCCCATAACTGTTCGTCTGTCTAGGCCTGGAGGCCTTTCTAGGCTCATACACAACAACACGCGCTCAGGACAGCTGCACTCGCTTTCAGACTCAATGACACACTAAACTTCATTAGGCAAGTTACTACACAACTTTATTTCAGCTGGTTTCTTTTTTCAGTTGTCAAAAACGTTCAACAATCTAGACTTCTCTCTTTACAGGTTTAACGTGTTACATGCCCTCAGATCTGAAAAAAATCTACTCTGTTGATCATGTAACTCAGATTGAACGACACATGTACTGCATACTCACAATACAATGTGACACTGACATCACTGTCTTCAAATCAAAAAAATAAACACAAGTCCTTTTTTCTCCAAATAATACACTTAAGGCCACAACATATTACAAATCATATTTAGGACTGTTCTGACTATAGTGTTTGATATCATACTATGTTTCACTCTCAGTGCTCACAAGGGGTTGACGATGGGTGAAAAGCACAAAAAGTCAAGCGGGTGAAGGAATGTGTGTCTGTGGAATAATGTGGAGTGTCTGACTACACTCTGTCGCGGCTAACGTTAAAGACCGCGTGTGTCTGCTGCAGTGAGAGCTATAACTGGCAGATCTTGGCCCCTCGCACTCTTTCTCAGTAATCTTTCCTTTCCTTCCCACTCCTCTCATCTCTCCTCATCACCATCTAACTCTGGATCTGAGGCCTGTTGAACAGACACAGGGTAAACATCACAAGTCATCCTGTGCTACACGTCTGTGTGCTCCAGAGGCGGCGCTGAACTTACCACAGACAAACAAATCTATTAATATCTCCTGGATCCGCCGCCAGAGCCATATCCACCTAAATATAACAATGCGCACGATCAGGCTCACACGCAGTGGTTTCACTTTTGATGTGGCATGCAGTGTACTGGATTTTCTGTACCACTGTAAGGTCCCGAGTTCCTTCCTCCAAAGTGATTTCCCTTCATGGGGCCGTAGTTGGAATGTTGTCCTGTGTAATTCCCAAAATTGTTGTAATTTCGTCCTCCTCCACCGCCACCAAAAAAAAAAATTTGTGTTATTAGCAGAACTCATCCAAGTCATAATGTAGATATAATTCAATCCACATTTTTCTGTTAATTATTAAATTATATAAATATTGTATTGTTAAAGAAATGCATTGTTCTATTTAGCAAGCGTGCATTAAATTGATCAAAAGTGACACTACAGACTTTCTATTCATCAAAAAATCCTAAAAATAAATGTATCATGGTTTCCACAAAAACATTAAGAAGCTGAACTGTTTTCAACATTGATGATAAGAAATTGTCAAATCAGCGTAACAGAATGATTTCTGGAGGATCATGTGACACTGAAGACTGGAGTAATGATGCTGAAAATTCAGCTTTGATCACAGAAATAAATTACATTACAAAATATATTCAAATAGAAAACAGTTATTTAAATTGTAATAATATTCCACTATTT